TGAGCTCTTCCAAGAAGGCTTTTGGGGTTTCAGAACAGTTCATATTCCCTTCTGAGGTTTCAAATGTGCATATATGGACAATGTTATCCTCTTCTGAATTTATGTTTTGATCTTTCCTGTCATCAAGATACTTTTCTATGGTCATTGTTTGTTTCTTGCTCATGTTGTTTGCCTTTTTTTCCTGGATTTTAAAGTTGATTTCTGCTTCTGGGGCATAGGGAGCACTTTCCAAAACTTCTTGTGCTGGGGGCTAGGCCTTGATTACTGGTTTGCTAAGGTGGGACTTGCCTCTTGCTTGCTGGAACATCTCCCTTCCTGTACTGGTCCCCTTCAGACATAGCAAGAGGGTCCTTTCCCTTTAATGCCCTTAGCCTCATGAGCTAAAAGTCTGCTGTATCTAGTCTTTCAGCTTACTCCACTATTTCAGGATTTTTCCTGGGGCAATATTCTTTTGGTTTTTCAAGGTCACTAAAGGAGGGTGAGAGCAATTTACTGATTACTCTGCTATCTTGGCTTCAGGAAGTCTAAATAGGTGACCTTCAAACATTCAGTCTATAGGTTAATAGCTCTAGGAGCAGTACTGCCACTGCTGTCACTGATACTGCTGCTGATTAAGTTACTCTGAGCACCTGTTCCTGGTTTGCTGGTGCAGGGGCTGTATTGGCATGCCATTTTTCCTTGTGCTGGACTGTACTTTTATTTAGTTGCTATACCTTTTGGTGCATATGTATTTTGTATTGCCATTACTTCATTATCTATGATGTCTTTTAGCAAGATACCGGTATCTCTTTAAACTAGATCTATTTTTTATTTTTGCTTTCTCTGTGACCCTGATTGCTACTCCTGTCTTTTTTTTTTTGCTTTGTTTTTTTCTGTTGTTGTTTGTGTGTTTATTTGGCTTCAGCTAAAACACAATTGATTCTGCTCCAGCCTTTTACTTTTACCCTGCGTGTGGTTCTGCTTCAGATAGGTTTCTTGTAAACAATATATTGTAGGATTATGTTTTTTAATAATTCTTCTATCTACTTCTATTTTCTAGGTGAGTTCATCCCATTCACATTTATAGTTTTGACAACTGTTTCTTTTTCCTCCATGCTATTTTCTCTTGTTTATCTCTCTTTCTCTCTCTCTCTCTTACCCCCACCATGTTCCTCCTCTCAAGTGTTTTACTTCCAATCATCTCTTCCAATCTGCCCTCATTTCTATCAGTAACTTCTTTCTATTATCCTCATATCCCTTTTTTTTGAACTTCCTTACAGGGTAAGATAGATTTCTGTACATAAGTGAGTGGGTATGTTATTCCCTCTTTGAGACAGTTCTGATGAGAGTCAGGTTTAAACTTTGCCTGCCACTCCTGTTTTCTCCTCCATTATGTTTCTCATATCTCTTTTGTGAGATAATTTATCATATTCTGTTTTCCCCACCTTCTTCCAGTGCAATCTTCTTTTCACTCCTTTATTTTGATTTCTTTGGGTCTCATCTCATTAAAGTCACTGTATTTTTATATGTTCTGTCTACATATAGTTTTTCTATTTGCCTTTTTTTAACCAATAAAGTCCTGAAGATTTAAAATATTATCTTGCCATATAGAAATATAAAGTTATAAACTTATTACTGTATATAGAAGTTTAAACTTATTGAATCTCTTATGTTATCTCTTTCTATTTTATTTTTTGCCTCTTTATGTTTCTCTTGAGTCTTGTATTTGTAGATTAAATATTTTATTCAGCTGTTGTCCTTTATTTAGAAATACTGGAAAGTCCTCTGTTTCATTAATTGTCCACCTCCCTCCCCCATGAGGTTTTATATTCAGTTTTTCTGGGTAGGTGATTCTAGACTGTAGTCCTAACTCCTTTGCCTTCCAGTATATCATATTTCAGACCCTCCTGTTTTTTAATATGGAAATTCCCATATTCTGTGTAATCTTGACTGTAGCTCCTTCGTATTTAAATTGTTTCTTTTTGGCTACTTGAAGTACTTTCTTTTTTATCTGTGAGCTCTAGAATTTGGCTATGATGTTTCTGGGAATTTTCATTCTGGGAATTTCTTACTAAATAAACTATTCAAAAAATAGGCAAAGAATGAGTCCTAAGAAATTCCTTTAAGTACACAAATACGGTGTTGATACCCAAAAGAGGAAGAGCCAAAATAGAGAAAGAAAACTATAGGCCAATTCCCCAATGAACATTGATGTAAAATATTTAAATAAAGTACTAGCAAAGAGATTATAGCAAGGATCGTACACTATGACCATGTGGGATTTATATCAGGAATGCACAGCTGGTTCAATATATCTATTACAAAACCAACAGAAATCATATGATTTTATAAATAGATGCAGAAAAAGGCTTTGACAAAATACATCACACATTTCTATTTAAAATACTAGAGAGCATAGGACTAAATGGAACTTTCCTTAAAATAATAAGAAGTATCCATCTAAAACCATTAGCAAACATTATCTTTAATGGGGATATTTAGAAGTCTTCCATGTACAATCAGGGTGAAGCAAGGATGCCCAGTATCACCTCTATTATTTAATATTGTACTAGAAATATTAGCTGTAGCAATAAGAGAGGGAAAAGAAATTAAGGGAATTAGAATAGGCAATGAGGAAATAAAATTATTACTCTTTGCTGATTATGATGTTATACTTAGAAAATCCTAGAGAATCAACTAAAAAACTACTTGAAAATTATTAACAAATTTAGCTAAGTTGAAAGATACAAAATAAACCCATGTAAATCATCAGCATTTCTACATATTACCAACAAAATCCAGTAGCAAGAGATAGAGAAATTCCCTTTTAAATAACTGTAGACAATACAAAATACTTGAGAGTCTACCTGCCAAGGCCAACTCAGGACTTATATAAACACAATTATAAAACATTTTTCACACAAATGAAATCAGATCTAAACAATTGGGAAAATATAAGTTGTTTATATGTAGGCAGATCCAATATAATAAAAAATGACAGCTCAACCTAAGTTAATCTATTTATCCAGTACTGTACCAATAAAACCACCAAACATATTTTAGAGAGCTGGAAAAAATGAAAACAAGATTCATCTGGAAGAACAAAAGCAGAAGGATATCAAGGGAATCAATGAAAAAAAATGCTAAAGAAGGTGGTCTGGAGGTAACAGATCTCAAACTGCATTATAAAGTGGTAATTATCAAAACCATCTGGAACTGGCTAAGAAATAGAGTAGTGGATCAGGGAAATAGATTAAGTACAAAGTATATGATAGTAAACGATCGTAGTAATCTAGTATATGATAAACCTGAAGATCCAAGCTTTTGGAACAAAAATTTATTATTTGACAAAAACTACTGGGAAAACTGGCAAACAGTATGACAGAAATTAGTGATATGTCAACATCTCATGACACATACCAAGGTAAGGTCAAAATGGGTACATGATTTAGACATAAAGGGTGATACTATAAGCAAATTAAGAGAGCATGGAATAGTTTAACTGCCAGACTTATGGATAAGAGGAAAAATAAGGAGCAAAGAAATATAAAAAAGCATTACAAAATATAAAATAGATAGTTTTGATTATATACAATTTAAAAATTTTGAGCAAACAAAACCAATGAAACCAAATTTATAAGGAAAACAGAAAACTGCGGGGGGGGGAATTACAATAAATATCTCTGTTAAAGGCCTCATTTTTCAAATATATAGAGAAATGAGTACAATTTATAAAAAAAATACAAGGCATTCTCCAATTGATAAGTGGTCAAATGATATGAATAGGCAGTTTTCAGATGAAGAAATCAAAGCTATCTATAGTCATGCAAAAAAGTACTCTAAATCTCTATTAATTAGAAAAATGCAAATTGACAACTCTGAGGTATCACCTCACACCTATTAGAAAGGCTAATGTTACAGGAAAGGAAAATGTTGGAGGAGATGTGGAAAACTGGAACACTAATGCATTGTTGGTGGAATTGTGAACTGATCCAACCATTCTGGAGAGCAATTTGGAGCTATGCCCAAGGGTCTATAAAACTGTGCGTACCCTTTGATCCAGCAAAAGCATTACTAAGTATGTATCACAAAGAGATCACAAAAATGGGAAAGGACCTACATATACAAAAATAAAGCAGCTCTTTTTGTGGTGAAAAAGAGTTGGAAATTGATGGAATGCTCATCAATTGGATTATGTTTAACAAAGTGTAGTATATGATTTTAATGAAATATTGTTGTGCTTTATGAAATGACAAGCAGGATATTTTCAGAAAAATCTGGAAAGATTGATGTGAACTGTTGGCAAGTGAAGTGAAAAGAACCAGGACAACATTGTATACAGTAAGAGCAATACTGTATGCTGAAGAACTGTGAATGACTTAGCTATTCTCAACAATACAATGATCCAAGACAATCCCAAAGAACTGATGATGAAACATATTATCTACCTTCAAAGAAAGAACGGATATTGATTAATATAGACTGAAGCTTGCTATTTTTCATTTTCTTTCTTTCTCTTTTTGAGTCTTCTTGTACAAAATGACTAATATGGAAATGCTTTACAAAATTGGATATGTACAACCTATATCTGGTTGCTCACCATCTCAGGGAGGGTGGATAGTAGGGAGTTATAAAATTTGGAACTCAGAACTTTAAATAAAAATGTTAACAAATTTTGAAAAAAATTAAGACTGGCTGAAATAACCATCATCCCTTTTTCAGGATTTTTTTTAAATTTTCAGTCTTTGATTTCGTAAACTCCTTTTTGTTTCCCGATCTGTAAACTGGGCCTACCTCTATTCACCTCAGAGGGTTGATGTGGTCATGATTAAAATCTTCAAATAACAGAAACTAAAGGAAAAGAGTATGAAGTGTGATTAGTTTATTAGCAAAGGCTAGCAATTTGCCAGTAAAATAGGTCTATAGCAACCTCGTTTGGTACAAGGGCCTCATTGTGAACTCACGGAGCCTTTTTCCAGGTATAATTGAGGAACATTAGAAAGGAGAACATAAACAATAAATGAGGAACGTTGATCACTTTATTTCACATGGGCATTTACATTTTCTGATTGGCTGAGGTATTCCAAGAGTTTCCATGATCATCATGAAAATGTACCTTGTGTAAGCAGTTCTGACAAGAACCTTTACAGGAATAGGGAACAGATCAACAGTTCTCAAGGTGTAGACATCACTATCCCCAGGAGACTATAATTAGCAGTGGACTAATTTTTATTTATTTTCTATAATAAGGCTTTTAATGGGAATGAGGAACAAAACTTATCAGCTGATGGGTCAATATCCAAACTGTGAAAGTCAAAAGAAAGAACTAACATGGAAGCGAGCGATTTAGAGAGGAAACAATCGGAAAGTGTACGTTGGACGCCTTCTCCATCTTGGGCACGTGGCTGGATGCTGTAGATCCAAAGACATAAAGAAAACAGTCACTGCCCACACGGAGTTTATAATCATAAGAATTCTCTAAGGATTGTTCTCATCAACCTGCAGATGCCTCCTGTAACTCCCATAAACTCTCTAAAACCTCCCCTAAAATCAAAGCCAGTGTATGAATTATAAGAGCAAGAGACCAAAAGGTAGCCAATCAAACAAAAAAGAAACCCAATTTGGCCCCACTGCTTGAGGCAGGGGAGGAAAAACATTGGTTCTTTGTTTATAGCATCACAAAGTTTTACATTTAGAACTGGAAGTGACCTTAGAGGTCCTCCTCCTTCTCATTTTAGATGAGGAAACTGAGGCAGACATTTAAATGCCCAAGGTCACAAAGCTAGTAAGTGGCAGGTTTGGAATTTCAGTCCAGGTCCTTGGAGTCCAAGTCTAGTAAGGACTCTGTATTTTCCTTTTGGTGGTATTAATTTCTCTCCTTTTCCTGAGTCAGAAGGTTCAAATTGGGCCACAGATACCCTCCCTTTGTCTCTTTCTCCTCTTCTCCCCACCTTGACTCCTTTCCCTTTCCCCATCCAAATTCCAAAGGGCAAGGTGGGGTGACCCCCTTGGATGATAAGGATTGTTCAAACTCCTTCCCCATGCTCCCTTGGAAGACCACCCTCCATGCCTACCTTGACCTATATCACTCGAGGAATGGCACAGATTTGGTAGGAAGCAGGAGCAGTGGTCACTCGAACTTCGGGGTCCAGGCTCAGCTTGGTGTTTGGGGGAGCCTGAAATGTGAATTTCTGGAGCAGGCAAATGAAAAAAATGAACAGCTCAGCCCGAGCCAGTTGCTCTCCCAGGCAGCTCCTCTTCCCTGAAAGGTAAGTAAATTACAAAAAACAAACAAACAAACAAACAAAAAAAACAGTGAATTGACTAATGGCATAGGCAGTGGTTTGGGGTAGGAGGTCCCCAGAGCCTGGGTCTGAATCCTAGCATTGGATTGAGCCTTAAGGCTGTTCAGTGGCTTGTCCACAGTTACAACTCTAATAAGAGTCAGAAGTGGAATTTGAACCCAAGTCTTCATTGCTCCATGTCAGGCACCATATCTACCATGCCATGCTGCTGCAAACCTCAGAGACATAGTAAGTTGAAATCTTGCATCTGTAAATAGAGGACCTGAGTTTAGATCTGTCAAAATATTAAGAGACACCCTGTTTTTTCCAGAGCTAAGTCCTAGTAAGCACACTGTGTCCTGAGCTTGGCATAACAGTAATCCTTTGTGCTCTAGATGATCTCAGTCTTTATCTAAGTGTATTGCTTTGACCAGACCAAGGTGTTCCCTGAGGGCTTTATGATTTTCATATTTATCAATAATTGTTTGGATTTGTGGGAGCTCCTCCTATTTCCCAGGAACCTGAGACCCAATGTGCTGCAGCCTAAAGCTATCCATCATCTCTTTTCTTTTAAGAAACAATTTCTTTTTTTGTTGTTATTTTTGTTTTGTTTTGTTTGTTTTTGTTTTTGTTTTTGCAAGGCAATTGGGGTTAAGTGACTTTCCCAGGGTCACACACTTAGTAAATGTCAAGTGTCTGGTCTGACATGAGATTTGAACTCAGGTCCTCCTGACTCCAAAGCTGGTACTCTATCCACTGCACCACCTAGCTGCCCCCATCATATCTTTTGACATGCTCACAGTCCCTGTTCTTCCAAGTGAACTGAACTAGGTATTGCACTCCTATTCCCACCACACTAACTCTGGTTCTGTACCCCATGACATAATCACAAAGCTCAATAACTTTTAAGATTTGAGAGAATCAATTTAAAAACTGTTCCCGCAGGAGCCAGGAATGCCTGCATTGTCCACTTATGAGACTGCCATGGGAACTGCTACTCCAGACATAAGAATGACTCTGTCGTGGTCCAGCCCACTTTTTTGTGTTTTTTTTTAATGTATATAAGACCTTTCTTTGCCCCAGTATGTTAAGCCCTCCTTCTCAGGAAGGGGGGCTTCTGTTTCCAAGCGTTTTCCTCTCTTTGAAATTAACTAAACTTCTATTTGTATCCTGAGTCTCTTGTCTCTGGCCATTCCCAGGTTAAAGGCAGGTTCTGGTCCAGTTGACAGATCCTACTTTGAATGCTTCTCACCAGGTGGCATTGGACGGCCATGTAACCTGAGTACGTGTGGACCCTACAAGCCCTTCTAGCTTCAGACCTAAGACCCTAGTTCTGTGTAGCCTTAGGAAGAGCAGGTCCCTTTTCTGAATTCAAGCCAGGTGTGATAAGTGGGGAGGGCGTTAGAACTGGAGTTAGGAAGACCTGAAGTCAAATCCTAACTTTGATACTTAGAAGCTGTGTGACCCTGGGCAAGTCACCTGTTTTCAGCCTCAATTTCCTCATGTGTAGCATGGGGATAACAATAGCACCTAGCTCACCGGGTAAAGATGTAAAGGACTTTAAGAACCTTAAAGGACTATATGAATGCTAGTTCTCATCATCATCTTTACTATTACTATTACTGTTGCTGTTGGGTGCTATTACTACTAATACAACAATTAATGTTTTTATTCTCTAATGCAAACAATATCGACATGTGCCTTACTGAGGTATTGTGAAGGCTGAATAGGATAATGCATGTCAGGTCTTTGTTAGCCTCACAGTATCAATCTACTCTCATCTGCATGATGGAAAAAAAAAAAAGAAACAAAAAACTTCTAATCCTGCATTCAGAAAACCCAGACAGGGTCTCGTCTCTGATACTCACTAGCTTTGTAATATTGGGCAATTCATGGGCTTTTAGGGCTTAAAGCAGCTCTCTAAGACTTGAGGAAGCAGAGAAAGTGCTGACCTGTCTCTGGCAGGTCTTACCAAGAGGAAAGACTATGATGGACAGCTGGTGCATTATCTCAGAAGAAACTGGACTTGAAACTATAGACTATTCTGAAGGAGGAGGTTTAGGAAGAAGGAGACAGAACTGAACAGACCCCATTAGCTACGTAACCAGCCTTGAGGATGACTCGATGTTAAGTGTACACCTGGTCACCATTTCCAAAGGAGCTGGCCTCACTTCTTTCTCCTGGAAGTCACTCTCAGGAATCTCATTATTTATGATGAGAAAATATGCCAGTCCAGCTGTCAAGAGAGTAAGACTGTATACCAACCCTGTAAGTGCCATGAAAAGAGCTGGCCAAACCAGCTGTTTGGTATAATGGAGACAACCAGTGGGTTAACTGAATGACCCTCTGACTTTTCAACACCTCTGAGGTTCCTGTCCTTAGTCTTTTTCTGTTTCTCTGAGAAATTCTAGGAAAGTGGCTCCCCTCCCTCCACCTTCCTTTTTGGTATATGGAAGAAAAGAGATAATGTAGACTCATATCCAACTGGACAGAGGGCAGGCCCTGAAGCCAGGAGGATCAGAGGAGCAGATATCAAGGGCTCAAAGGGACCTCAGAAAGCCTTGTAGTCCAGCTTTCTCAATTCACAGATTTGGAAACTGAGCCTAAGGGAAGTGAAGTGATATCATCATGTCCTCCTTCCCTGCTTGCAATAATAGATGCAAGATCTTCCAGGATAACAATATATGACTTATCTCTAGTAATTTCACATTTACAAAACACTCTAGTACAAGCTTCATCATATCCAGGTGAGGCATTAACTAATTAATTCATTCAACAAACTCTTAATATAGTAACAGCTAACATTTATAAAGCACTTTAAAAATTGGCTAACCTTGACTACATGCTACATTGTAGACCTGGGCAAACAAGCATCCTCCAATAGCCAGACCTCCATGTGTTTAAGTGTAGCCCCAGGGAAATTCAGAAATACCTCAATGGCCTCAGCTCAAGCCAGACACCAGCACCAGGAATCCAGCTAAATACCAGGTAAGCTGATAGACTTTTACAGCCTCCAACAATACTAGCAACCCCCACCCAACCCCTTCAGCACAACACCAGACATGAGGGTCCTCTATGGGCCTTAGGGCAACATCAGTGTAGCACCAGGTAAACAGTCAGGACCAGCAGCCCCTGGCATAAGAAGCTTGAGACGGTACCCCTTCCATTCCCCTCAAGAAGCAGACTCAAAATTAAAAGAAAGGGAAAAGGTGAAAAAAAGATGAGGAAAAAAAAGAAGCTGACCCTAGAAAGTTATTGTGGTAACAGGGAAGACCAAGACACAAACTCAGAAGAGGACAACAATGGCAAAACATGTATGGGCAAAATCCAAAAGAAAAATGGGCAGTGGTCTCAAGCCTAGAAACAAATCATAAAAAAAGCTCAAAAAGAAGCTTAAAAATCATAAAAGAGAAGTAGAAGAAAAAATGGGAAAAGAAACAAAAGTGATGCAAGAGAATTATGAAAAATAAAAGGGTTTACAGCTAGGAAAAAAGAAAACAACTGCTTAAAAATAGAATTGGCCAAATGGAAAAGGAAGCACAAAACCTGAATGAGAAAAACAACTCTTTAAAAAGTTAGAATTGGGCAAGTGGAAGCTAATGACTCTATAATCAATCAAACAAGTTCATAATATGATGAAAAAGTTAGAAGAAATTGCAAAATACATCATTAGAAAAACAACTGGCCTGAAAAGTAGATCAAGAGAGATGATGTTAGAATCGTTGGACTTCATGAAAGTCATAATTAAAAGGAGGACCTGGACAGCATCTTTCAAGACATTATCAAGGAAAACTGTCCTGATATTCTGGAACCAGAAGGCAAAATAGGCATTAAAGAATCCACTGATCACCTCAGGAATGAGACCCCAAAATAAAAACTGTAAGGAACATTATAGCCAAATTTGAGAACTATTAGGCCAAGGAAAATACCGAAAGTGGCCAGAAAGAAACAAATCAAATATCAAGGAACTAGAATCAAAATTACCCAGGTCTTAGCAGCTGCAGTATTAAAGAATCAGAAGTAACAGGACATTATATTCTAGAAAGCAAAGGATCTAAGACTACAACTCAGAATCACATACCTGGCAAAATTAAGAATAATATTCCAAGGAGAAAAATGTCCATTGTATGACGTAGAAGGATTTCAAGCTTTCATAATTAGATAACCAGAATTGAAAAAAAAAATCTAAAATATCAAGAACCAAGAGAAGCCTAAAAGGAGAAAAAGAGAAAAGAAAACATAAAGGACTCAATGAGCTGAACTGTTTACATCTCTACATGGGAAGATGACACTTGTAATTCTTAAAAATTGAACTACTAATAGTAGAGCTGGAATATACATAAAGGTATGGGTATATGGTGAAGTTGAGGGAATAACATAAAAATAATTAAGGGATGAGAAAGGAGTACACTAGGAACAGAAGGAAGGGAGAGGTAGAATGAGGTAAATTATTTCACATGAAGAGACATGAAAAAATTAGAGTAGAAGGAAAGATGGGAGGGTGGGCAATGGGCACCTATTGAATATTACTCTCATCAGTATTGGCTCAAAGATGGCACAATCAGACAGAGCCAAGATAGTGGAGTAAAAGTAGTGACTTGCTTGAAGTCTCCCCCAAACCTTTCCAAATACCTGTAAAAAAAAGACTCTAAATACAGTCTACAGCAGAAGAACCTACAAAAATACAGAGTGAAACAAATTTGCAGCCCAAAACAACCTGGATGGTTGATGGGAAATGTCTGTTTTACTATTTCAGCATGGGCTGTGCAGGCAAAGACTGTGCCTCAGTGAACCTGAAGCAGGCTTCAGAGGACTGAATCACAGGCAGCTGTGGCAGTTTCCAGACTTCTCAACCCACAAATGCCAAACACAACTTAGAAGGTCAGTAGGAAAAGTCTGTGACCATAATGAGAGAGAAGTTCAGTCCTGGCCCCAGTCCCAGCACTGCCATGGAGTGGTGGCTGCTTCTGGAGCTTCT